TTCCTATTGTACGTTTTTTCATAAATATTCTAAAATATTTTGAGATGAAATCAGCTCTGAAAACAAATAAATCTCTAGTAGTTTTAAATTTCAGCACTTTTTTTCTTCAACAAGAATACACCAGCTGGGTGGTGGTGGCGAATGCCTATAATCCCAGCACTTGGGAGGCAGAGGCAGGCGGATTTCTGAGTTCGAGGCCAGCCTGGTCTACAGAGTGAGTTCCAGGACAGCCCGGGCTATAAGAGAAACCCTGTCTCGAAAAAAAAAAAAAAAAACAAAAACAAAACAAAACAAAACAAAAAAAACATATTGCCGGGTGGTGGTGGCGCATGCCTTTAATCCCAGCACTTGGGAGTCAGAGACAGGCGGATTTCTGAGTTCAAGGCCAGCCTGGTCTAGAGTGAGTTCCAGAACAGCCAGGGCTATGCAGAGAAACCCTGTCTCGAATAACAAACAAACAAACAAACAAAACAAAACAAAAAAAACAATACATCACCCCCCCCCTTTTTTTCCATCTGGACAGGCCATATCAGCTTTCCCATCTGTCTGACCAGATGTTCTGGGTACACATTAGTATAAGAAGAAGCTCTTGAAGTTTTAGGTAATTTTTATCCTAAGCAGAACTGCCTGTACCTCTTATGTATAAGTTGGAATGATTTAAAATGCCCATTTTAAAATCATCTCTATTTACTGAAGACCTGTTCCTTTCTATGACTGCTATTGCTGCTATAAGCTTTTACCAGGTTAGTAAATGTACTGGCTGGTTTTGTGTGTCAACGTGATACAAGCTGGAGTTATCACAGAGAAAGGAGCCTCCCTTGAGGAAATGCCTCCATGAGATCCAGCTGTAAGGCATTTTCTCAATTAATGATCAAGGTTGGGAGGGTCCATTGTGGGTGATACCATCCCTGGGCTGTTAGTCCTGAATTCTATAAGAAAGCGAGCTAAGCAAGGCAGAGGAAGCAAGCCAGTAAGTAACATCCCTCCAAGGTCTCTGCATCAGCTTCTGCATCCTGACCTGCCTGAGTTCCAGTCCTGACTTCTTTGGTGATGAACAGCAGTGTGGAAGTGTAAGCTGAGTAAATTCTTTTCTCCCCAACTTGCTTCTTGGTCATGATGTTTTGTACAGGAATAGAAACCCTGACTAAGACAGTAAATGAGAGGAAAAATGAGATTAAAATTTTGCATATGAGTTATTGCAAAACCATGATTTGTGGCCACAATGCATTATCTTGACTTTTGGAAGACTGGGTTAGTCTTCCTGAGGAAAGCCTATCATTTCTAACTGTGCCATATATGATCCTAACATATCAGCATGGAGATGAATGATAAAAATAGCAGTTCCTAATCTATAATTATTATTACATAAAATTCCAGTGAGATTATACAATTCCCTCAAATAGGTAAGGGAAAGGTACCCATTCTGTACCTGAGGCAGCTGTAATTTCCTGGCAGTCAGTTTTACTCTTCTATGATCTCACCTATGGAATGAAGCCACCTCTTCTTACCACACAAGCATATTCTTAACACATTATATCAATGCACGAAGTTCTGCTTAATTTCAAAAGCTTATCACTTCTACTACAGTTGGACTCCCTTTGATTTAATTTTAAAAACTCCAACATCTATCGAGTCTTTTAACATAACAGTGTAGATCAAAACACTGAGATTTTTGTTTTGATGTGTTTTGCTTGTTTGTTATTTTTTGAGACATGGTTTCTCTATGTAGCTCTGGCCATCCTGGAACTCACTTTGTAGACCAGGCTGGCCTTGAATTCAATTCAGATATCCATATGCCTCTGCCTCATGAGTGCTGGGATTAAAGGCATGTGCTACCACTGCTAGCAAATAGGGTGGACTTTTATGAAGGTGACTTTATTCATGCTATTTTAATAGAAAGGACATATATTAATGAAGAATATCTCATAGTAAAGAAAGGGATACCAGGAGTTGAGAAGGAAGAAAACCATGAGTCTTATTATCTTAGGGTAGGGCCTGTCTTCTCTTACAACCTATAAAATCAAGATCATTCCCTGGAATCCAAAATGATGGGGGCATTTATCGACATTGTAACACTTTAGCCACCCTGGCTACTACACTCTCCGGCTGTACTATAATGTTACTGTTCTGTGTTGGAGTCAGGGAGAAGAGACACTTTCCAAAGGTAAGACTTTCTAGAGTTTCGTACGCAAACCTATGACCTTTGAAAGTAATGTAAAGACTCCATCATTTCCCAAACTAGCTAAGTCAACAAGACATCTAAAGAAAAGTGTCTCCACCCCCATTCATTGCTTCCCTTACTGCACCAGAGAACATTAATGCAGGCATTTCTGAGCATTTTACACTTCAAAGAAGTGCTATAGCCACAAACCCACACATCAAATAAAGGTTTAGGGCAATCACACTATCCTGAAATAACTTAAAATATGTTTTGTTAATTAGGTTGTGCCTCCAGGTGAGGTAATATTTATACTAAATCTTAGATCAATGAGAAAGGGGCCTCAGGATCTGCTACATAGTTTTGAAATAAATCTGGAACTAGGAGACAGAGGAGGGGGCAGAGAGACTATTTTGTGACAGTGAGTTCTAATAATTGCCTGTGATTTAGAAAGATAATGTAAACTTAAAATAGGAACAAATACGAAACAAAGGAATGACTAGTAGAAACTGGATATATGGCTGGTCTACAACATGATCTTTTGAGAATGATTTCAATTTGAAGTTCGGGTACTTTTTATCTCTATCATCTATCATGTGTCTGTCTATCTGTGTTATTCTAGGTCACATATCAACTGAGATTGAAGTAATCTAATGGTTCTTGTTCATTTATATCGAGGATGGTAGACGGTGTAGCTCTCAACAAATAAAGTAATTAATTGCATGTGGATCATCAAGTAATCAAGACTGTAGCATATCAGCTCAAAAAATTATCCTAGTTTTTTGAAGTTTTTCATTATTTGATTCTTTCATGATATTATCATTAGCTCCTTTGATTGTAGGGAGTTGTGCTGATGAAATTCTTCATAAGTTTTACTACTTGGTTAGTATGCCTTATATTACTATGCTGTTTTATGAAATAATTTGACTTCTGTGTGGGTGTTGACAGAAAAAACTTTTATTATTATTAATTACTGTTACATGTGATTTACTGACTGCTCCTCTTTGGCCCCTCAGCAGACCCCAATGCTTTGAGGATACACAGTTACTAATCAATTGCCTTATAAATATTTCATCTATGTTATTTTCCATACATATTTGTTTCCAGACACATACACTTTGAAGACTTTGGCACCAGACACACTGAAATGCAGAATCCACCATATCTTGATCTGGGAACTGATTGGCTTCAAAACAAGTAAGTTTCTGTTGTTTATAAGACAGCTAATGAATGACATTTTATTATGTCATTTCCACAAAAGACAACTAATGGGCTTTTGATTCATGTTCCAATTCTGCTATATGACAGCTGTATTTCTTTAAAGCAAATTATTGAACTCACTCTTCATCAGATTCCTTATATTAAAAAGTTAATAGTCAGAAAACAGAAACAAAACATCAGAAATGTTAGCAGCTTAGAACAGACAACACCAGACCAAACGGTTCCGGGGGGGGGGGTGGTGGTGGTGGTATTCAGGGCAGAGGGCAAAGGTGGGGGGAGAGAAATAGGAGAAGATGGTGGAGGAGGGGGCAAGCAGCCCCTTTTATAGTGGGCAGGCCTACCTGTCTGTTGCCAGGTAACTGTAGGGAGGAGCATACCTGGGTGTTGCCAGATAACTGTGGAGTTTAGACAGAATACTAACAAGAAATCCACCTTATCCATAAATATGATGTTCTTATCAAACTCCTTCTCTCATGGTTCAATAGTCTAGGAGAAAGAGGAAGCAAAAGATTTAAGAGCCAGAAGTGGATGACTCCAAAGGAAGGTCATCTTCCAAATATTGCACGGTTCATGTTCATATGAACTAATAGCCTACAAAAGAACTGCACACGTGCAAAATCCCACCCCCAACCGAGAAACTATTTGTAACTGATATTTCCTTTGGAAAACTAGCCCATGTTCCTGGCTGCTGAGCTGGGTGGCTCTGGGCCGGGGACCTGGCCACCTGCACCTCGGGCCTGGTAGTGACACACACAAGTTCGACCGACCGGAGTGCTGGAGCAAGGCTGTGCGCAGATAGGGAGGGGCAGGGACCACGTGCGGTGAACTGAGGCAGGGCGTGGGGACTGTCGCCCAGCTCCTAACTTGGAGCATAGGTTGTCTTTTTTATCTCTACGTGAGAAAATCAGTTTTCTCCAGAGGATTTATCAACTACACTCTGAGGCAGGCCCCATGCTCAGGAGTGGCTAGCTAGCGCTAAAATTAACTGCATGGTTTTTTTTGTGTGTGTGTGCTTTTTTGTTTTGTTTTGGTATTTTTGACATTTTGGTTTTGTTTGTTTTGTTTTGGTTTTTTTATTTAATCAGAAAGAAAAAGAACACGAAATTGGATTGGTACAGATGTGGGGAGAATCTGGAAAGGAATTGGAGAAGAGGGAAAGAATGTCAACAAAATATGTCGTATGAAAAAAAGACAATAAAATAAAGAAAATGTTAAAGGATTGGAATGCAAATATATGCAGTCTAAATAAGACGGTTCGTACCGCAAATGTTAAGTTGGTAACAATCGACCAATATTAAAGCTGTATGCAATGACAAACAATTTGGACCTTTTGTGGACCAACGGAGCACAAGCACTCTCTCAAGAAGCATGTTCTTGTGCGTGTGCTAATAAAGGGAACTTCCCAAATCTATATATTTCCCTCTAACTTCAGATTTGGAGGTATAAACAATAAAAAGCACAATCACATTCTGTGATCTTTAGGTTCATATGCCCAAGCAGCAGAAGGCCTGTAGTTGTAGGTGGGAGCAGGGAATGCAGTCCGGGGGCGGGGCTAGAAGCTCAGGGGCGGGGCCGCGTCTCCGGAGCACGCCCTGGACGTGCCCACGCCGCCCCGCCCCTCTACGCTGTAGCCGAGTCAACTTGCGGATGAGACGCAACAGGCCGTGCTGGGTGAGTGTGGTGGTCCCGGCTGAACCGCGCAGTGCAGCGTGGGGAGCTCGGGTCGGGCTGAGAAGTGCAGCTTCGGAGGGCCCGGGCTTAGCTGGTGAGCTGGGTGGCCGAGGGTTGGGGACCCGGCCACGTGCACCGCAGGCCTGGTGGCGAGCGGCACACGAGAGTTCCGCCCGCTTGCTAGAGCCGGGCTGCGCGCGCAGACGGGGAGGGGCGGGGACCACGTGCGGCGGACTGAGGCGGGGCGCGGGGACTGTCACTCAGCTCCGAACTTGGAGAGTTGCTTGTCTTTTTTATCTCACCTGAGGAAGACTGCCTCCCTGACTCCAGGTTGCTCAACAGGTGACTAAGAACAGGTTTCAGGAAGTCCGCCAGCATTCATTATCTGAACTTCCGGCGCCGGGAGTTGGGTTTCACCATCTCCTTTTTAATACCTGGTTGCCTCTTAACTTTTGGGCTGCATCTTTTGTGACCTCATGGCACCCCCAAATACACGTAATTCGTATTCTGTTTGTATAAAGCTCCAAAACGTAACTGCCATTCAGTGAGACATCTCTGAATTAATGAAAACTTTGTGTGCTGAAGACAATCGCTTTCAGGTTAGCCTGGTGACCTTGTTACAAGCAATATGTACTTTAAAAAAATATTTCACCATTTTATTTATTTTATGTGTGGATGTACACATGCTATGGTGTACCAGGGAAGGTCGGTGGACACTTTGAGGGATCCTTTCCACTATGTGCAAGAGATTAAACAAGGTGGTCAGGGTTGGTCTGCAGGTGACTTGACTTTACCGACTGAGCCGTCTCAGGCCCACTGTATATAATTATTGTCGGATGTGTTTAATTGAGCCAAGTTCAATCTAGTTTTCTCCAGGTTAGTGGGCCTAAAATTCGTTAAAGACTTCTGTGAATGTAGATTTCTGCCTCCAGCATCAGAAGTGGTAATGCATTAGGCTTGATGAATATCTAGAAATTTGCGTGCTAAAAGCTTTGCTGGTAAAATACTGCTAACATGGAGAGAGACTTCCAGGGCTGCTAGTGAGTATTGGTATCTATGGTTACTCTTTCAGAATAGTCTTTTATTGTGCAAGACCCCTGTCTTTCCCAAGAGCTGTTTTGTGAATTTCGTTGTTCTTGGGGTTTTTTGTTTTGTTTTTTGGGGGGAGGTTGTTTTTTTTTTTGGGAGGTGAGTAAGGCTTTTGAGAATTTGCTAGGAAGAAAAAGTGAAGAAAAAATTTGACTTGACTGTCTTGTGCCATACTTTGGCTAGGTCTTGGCAAGGTAGGGGTGGCTATCCCTTAAGAAGTTCTGGTGACGTCATTAAAATTTGCCATGGGAAAATTTTAGGGCACCATCAAATGTAGATTATTAAGTTTGTTGACTATAGTAAGAGTGCCAACATTTATTTTCATGTCGAATTTATCAGTGATACAGGAGTTACCAGTTTATAAGTTGAGACACTTTTGGAATTCTTTAAGTGCTTTTAAATCAACTTACTTACTGAAAAACAATTGCTTTTCACAGCTTCTCCAACCCCGTGGCTATGGAAAGAAATACTCTTATTTCTATCTGGGAGATCCATGGGGCTTACAGGCAGGTGCTGCACCATTATAGATAAGGAAGTCTCTGGTTTAATGTCCTGTATTTCTTGGAATACAAGAAGTGTCTTTGTTCCTCTTGTGCTTCTCACTGCATGTGAAATGGTGGGGCAGTTTGGGATCTTTGGAGATAGGCCTAATTTGGTAGCTATGTGTCTACTCTGGTCCACCCTCCAAAGGCTATTAAAAAAAAAAGAGTGTTGTAAGTAAAATATAATGTATCTGAATTAGTTTCCAATTGGAAATTAACTGAGGCTCAGATAAATTCTATGTTGACATAGGAGGGAAGTAGGTGGTGTAATTGTAGGCGAGGTAAGTTCTGTAGTCTTGGGGTTGACTTGTTGGTGATTGTAGGTGGGAAAATCCTTAAGTGGTTTTATTCTTAAGTATTTTGGGCACTTAGCCACATCTTCTGGTGAATGTGCAATTTCATTCAGGTTATTCTTTTTTTTTTTCATTCTGTTTATTCTTAAGGAAATAAGCCTTTCACTTGTCTTTTCCTCGCATCAAACTGAGCAATTGTGAGAGTATGAGATGTGCCTTAATTATAAGAGGGTAAGAGATGAGTGCTTTACTTTGGAAGATACCTGTGCTGGCTTGTCTTTTGTCAACTTGACACAAGCTAGAGTTACCTGAAAGCAGGGAGCCTCAATTGAGAAAATGCCATCATAAGATATAGTTACTACCAGACATTTTCTTAGTGTTTGATGTGTGGGGCCACCTCTAGGATGGTGGTCCTGGGTTCTATAAGAAAGTAGGCTAGCAAGCCAAAGCCAGGAAGTGGCATCTCTTCATTGCCTCTGTATCAGCTCTGATCTTCAGGTTTCATTCCTGCTTGAGTTCTAGTCCTGAATTCCTTCAGGGAGGAACAGTGATGTGGAAGTATATGCCAAATAAACCCTTTCCTCCCCAACTTGCTTTGGTCATGGGGTTCCTTCATAGCAATAGTAACCCTAACTAAGGCATTAAGTGCCTTTTGTGGTATAACACAGTGGTCTAATGGTTTTATATTAAATGTGAGAGGTTCAACAGTTTGCTAGGTGAAATACTAACTAAATTGGCACAGGAAAAAGATACATTCGATGAATTCCTGGGGTGTCCTGTGCAAGGTTCCAACTGTCTTTAAATGGAGTCACACTCTGTTGATTTTCACTTGATTGCATCAGCAGATGGAAACGTGCCCACCTGCAGGGTTGTTAGAGACTATATGACAAGAGTTTTAGGGCAATGAGGTGAGGGCTGGTGACTGATTTTTCTAGGCAGCCTCTGCTTGGCATATACCCTCAGAAGAGTACATGTGCCAGCTTACAATGTCAGCTGTGCTGATTGCATGTTTAGGCCACTGTTTTTATTTAATGGTAGTAAAAACTCTCCAGAAATCTCAAATGCCAATATCAGCTACAAGCTGGTTTTTTTTTTTTTTTTTTTTTTTTAAAGAACAGGAGGTATAGCCTCCTTCCTTTACTGTCTGTCTTTACATTGATTCTTTACTGAGTCTGTCTTCATATTTTGTGTTTCCATGTCTCTTAAGATTCCAGCTATGGCAGTTCATCTCTCCAACACTTTAATTGCTTGGGTTAAGAATTAAAGCTGGTTGGGTGGTGATGGCACCCACCTTTAATCCCAGCACTTGGGAGGCAGAGGCAGGCAGATTTCTGAGTTCAAGGCCAGCCTGGTCTACAGAGTGTATTCCAGGTCAGCCAGGGCTATACAGAGAAACCTGTCTCGGAAAAAAAAAGAGAAAGAAAGAAAAAAGAAAGAAAGGGGAAAGGAAAGGAAAGGAAAGGAAAGGAAAGGAAAGGAAAGGAAAGGAAAGGAAAGGAAAGGAAAAGAAAAAAAAGAATTAAAGCTGTTCTGTTTGAATCAAAGGGATACACAAAATATTTTCAGAAAGTTTGTCTGATTGAGCACTGTCTTAGTTATGGTTTTACTGCTGTGAACAGATACCATGACCAAGGTAACTCTTATAAAATACAACATTTAATTGGGGGCTAGCTTACAGGTTCAGAGCTTCATCAAAGCAGAAAAATGACAGCATCCAGGCAGGCATGGTGTAGGAACAGCTGAGTTCTACATCTTCGTGTGAAGGCTGCTAGAAGACTGGCTTCCGGGCAGCTAGGACAAGGGTCTTAAAGCCCAAGCCCACAGTGACACACCTACTCCAACAAGGCCACACCTTCTAATAGTGCCAATCCCTGAACCAAGCATACACAAGCACATAAGTTAACACCAGTTTTATCTTTTTTCAGGTCATCTTTAGCTCCTACACTGCATTGTTAGTATCAGTTAGTTGTCGCTGTTTGCTGCCATGATTCTCTGCTTTTTGAAAGAACTGAGCTCCTTGGTGTTACAAATTTAGATACTAAAATGAGACCTTTAGAGGGTTTTCTATTTGTTCAGTTTCCACTTACTAATTTTTCGAGTTTGCATCTGGGTTGCTTTTTAAAGACTGTTTTAAAAATTAGTTGTTGCAGATCATTCTAGGACTTCCCAGAGGAGAATACTCATTTGTTCAGTCCACAGTGCTGCCAAAATGCTACTCCACATTTGATGAGACGAAAAGACAGCTTCCTTGTAATCCTGGTAACTCAACACAGTAGGAACTCATAGCATTTTAAGTTACTGACCTTGAGAAAATGTGTTATTTTATAAGCACTGTGATTCTCAGCCTTCTTTGGCAACAGGATGTTTGTTAGCAATCAGAGGAACAGAACATCAGAATAAGAAAGAAAAAAGAGAAGTTACACAGTTTGAACATCACTAATCCAAGCATCTGAAATCTGACTTCTGAGCACCAATATGCCATATAAGTTAAAAAAAAAAAAAAGCATTTTAAACCTCAAGTTGGAGGCACAACAAAAGCAGGCATAAAATTACCCTAGGCTATGTCTGTAAACTATATATGAAGCATAAATGAATTATGAACTTTGTTTTGGTTTTAATTTTAATATGTCCCCCCCCCATCTCAAGTCTAACTGCTTGGTTGCTAGCCTCTGGCACTTCTGGGTGGACTGTTCAGGGCCTGATAAAAGAAAGTTAGGTGGTAGAATGGTTCTCTTTTTGCCTCTTTGTGACCATGAGGTAACTGCGCTATCATATCCTCTTGTCGGTGACTTTGAGAGTCTCCACAAGACAACAGAACCATCCAGTGGACTAAAGACCCTGAAACTGAGCCAAAAATAAATCCTTCCTGCTTTAGTTGGTTATCTCAAGTATACAATTTCAGGTTTACACTATGGTGTCCTGTGTATGTGCAGGTAGGTATTGCAAATCTGGTCCCAAATACTTTTGCAAATTTTATATCGTGAACATTTGTATGGTTTGAATCACAATTCTTGAACCTACGTGAGGGAAACCTATATATGTGTCAGGATTTATAGTTTATGGGAGTTTGGGAATGTTGGTCCTCTTGCTACCCAAATGTGTGCCAGAAACCAGAAAGTGTTTACTATGGGTCCACTCGATGCCCCTGTGTCTTTTTTGTGTGTTAAATTGGAGAAGTACTGTGTTAGCGGCTAATGATGTTGGTGATTGATATCTTGTTCCAGTTAAAAAGGTAGATCTTTTTGAAGATCTGCCACATAACTGATTTTAACCTTCCTTTTCAAAGCCCTTAATTACTTTTTTTAAATGGGCAGAGGGCCCTGATGGCCACAGTTCTCAAGCACTTGAAAGTGGAGTTTACTCTGTTTGTCATCTCATTCCAGCCACCAGGTGACGCCACTGGCCCAGGGCATGTTGGCTTCTGCCTGGGAAGGTTTTCTGTACTGTGTTGAGCAGCACCTGGCAGCAGACAGCTGTTCCTAATTCTCTATCAAATGTCTGTACCACAGAGAATACATCTAATTAGATTCAGGACCTGGTGCTGATTGCAGCCAAATTCAAGATTTTTGGCTTTGCCATTTCAACGGCCATAGGCTTAACCTTTGAATAAAAACTACTGAGAAAGTTGAATGGTTTAATTTGGGATAATCAAGACTCCTAATTAATACTGATTTCCAGGACTTAGTGCTTGTATATATAAGACATTTGTGTTCTCCTTTGGATGAATGTACAAACTGAGTGGTGTTTAAGGTTGAATCATCTTGGAATAAATGACACTAGCTTAAGGCTGTCTCATCCTGGAGGATATAGTCCTGACTAATGTGGAGTTCTTGAAGAGGCAAAATGTCACAGTCATGCATGGTGCATGTGCATTCCTGCAAACCTGACAATGTCTTATTCCTTTGGTAGGCTTATATTTCCTTCCTACTTGTGAATGATGCCAAAGAAAGTGAAGCCCAGAGTGGATGAGAACGAAGAAGAGTCCGTTCCTTGCAAGAAGGTTAAGGAGGAGCCTGCTACACCTTCTGTATTAAACTTTGACAGCCCCAGTAGTTTCTTTGAAAGTTTAATCTCACCCATCAAAGTAGAGACTTTTTTCAAGGAATTCTGGGAGCAAAAGCCCCTTCTCATTCAGAGGGATGACCCTTCACTGGCTGCGTATTACCAGTCTCTGTTCAGCCTCTCAGACCTGAAGAGTCTCTGCAACCAAGGGCTATACTATGGAAGAGATTTGAATGTCTGCCGGTGCATCGGTGGGAAGAAGAAGGTTTTAAATAAGGGTGGAAAAGCACAGTTTCTTCAGCTAAGAAAAGATTTTGATCAGAAGAGGGCAACAATTCAGTTTCACCAGCCACAGAGATTTAAGGTAATGGATCTCCCCATGGCAGAATTCTCAGATATATGAAACCAGTCATGTTTGGACACACATCAGTTTAAGATTTAATGTCTGGTTTGATGATGGAGATCATTGTGAGAACACACATGCCTTTCATTTGGACTTTAAGTACATTTGAACTTGGGAAAATCTGTCATTTTAATAGATAAATTTTGGGGTCGGGGGGTGGGGATGTGATGTACTCACATGCAGACATGTGTGGAGGACAGAAAAAGATGTTAGGTGTCTTCTTATGTTACTTTCAATCTAATATTTTATTTTGTAATTAGGGTCTCCTGCTGAACCTAGAGCTAACCATTTGTTTAGAGTTGGGTAGTCAGTGAGCTCCAGGGATCCAACTGTTCCACTCCCCCATCTCCCAGTACTAACATTACAGACATATTGCCACTTCAGGTTTTATGTGGGCACTAAGGACATAACCTCAGGTCCTTCTGTGTGTCTAGCAGGTGTTCTTCTTAACCACTAGGCCATCTCCCCAGCACCTGTTTACATGTTTTGAATCTGTATTAGTCATAGTAGATTTTTAAGTATCAGAGCTATAAAAACCAGACTCAAGTTTCCAAATAACATTGCACCTCTAGGATGTGTGTAGTGGACTGATTTATTTTTGTGTATGGTAAGGATATCTGTGCTGTCCTGTTGCTGTACTTTAAGGTACATGGTAGTACCCAGGTGACACTTGAGGTTATCTTCCTTTCCTGCCTACATCTCTCCAAGTGGTGGCTTCAGGGCTATGACCAGATGATTTATCAGGTATCCAAAAAAGATACATGTTAACATATTAATAACAGAACTTGTGACATTGAGGGGTTAAGTCCTGGAATAGCTCCTGGGTGATCATCATAAGTGAAGATAGCATCCTTTAATAAATAAAGAAAGCATCCCTGAACTTGTAACTGCATCTTCAACCAACATGGTTTGACTCTATATCTTTTGTTAATAGGTCACAGTTTGAAAATGCAAAAACCACAGGGCCAAGATAAAAGGGAAAGCTACAGAACTGTAGCATTTTGGCTAATCCTTAAGAAAATAGACACATTTGTCAGTTACATGCCAGTGGTTTTTTTTTTTTTTTTTTTGGTTTGCATTTTTTTTTTTCCCTCTTATCATCTTAGCAGTATCAGGAGCTATAAAGTTACCTATACATTCCTAAATGATCTCTTGGGACACTAGAGAACAAGAGCCAAGGCCTGGTTTCCCAATGGTGCCAAATATTAAGTAATAGAGAGCCAAATCCTGTAGCCTTTCTCCAAAATAAATTAGGCTCCTTGGGAGCCCTGCTAACTCTTTGAGCTACTCAGAGACTATTAAATTATGTTTCCTGTGCTAAGGAGAACCTCTGAGATCTATAAATAGGGAAACCCAGTGGTCAAAGCTTTTTCCATGTTGACCCAATTCTTTCCCACTTGCTATTCTCAGTACTAGATTCCTTACAGCCCAGTGGTAGAACTGACTCTCAAGCCTTATGCATTGGTGTTCTCAGCAAGCCTAACATTTATACTATACCGCCTATATGTCAGTCACTGTGCATTCATTTGTATTAAAGCTTTAGTCTCTTTATCTGTTTAGCGTAGGTATCTTAGTTATTGTTTCTATTGCTGTGGAGAGACACCATTACCCCAGCAACTTTTACAAAGGAAAATATTTAATTGGACCTGGCTTACAGTTCAGAGGTTTAATCAGTTTTGGTTATGATGGAAAGCATGGCAGCCTGCAGACAGACATGGTGCTGGAGAGGTAGTTGGAGAGTTCTGTATCTGGAGCAGCAGGCAGCAGAAGAGTGAGAGAGTGACACTGGGCCTGGGTTGAACATCTGAAGCCTCATACATAGCCTACCCCCAAGGGACATACTTATTCTAACAAGGCCACACCTCCTAGTAGTGTCACTCCAGTATAAGTTTATGAAGGCCATTTTCATTCAGACCACCATAGTAGGTGACTTGTTTTGAAGATATGGATTCTGGACTCCCCAGATTGGAATCTTGGCTCAGTTAATGGTTAATGGTTTTCTGCTTTAGTTTCCTCACTTATAAACTGATGTTAATGATCTCTCCCACCCTGTGAGACAGGATTTCTATGGAGGGTATTCAGTTATCAGAGTAAGCACTTAGAAGATAGAATATGCTGTAATCTACAAAGCCCACTTGTGACTTCCTGCTACCTGACTCGTAACTGATCTCTCTCAGCCTTATAGCTGATGAGTCACTCAAGGGAGCCTTACTCAGTTCTCTGTACCCTTCCCAGGATGTCATTTCTGCTTCTCATGCTTTAAATAATTATTTGTTGGCAGTTCCCAAATGTAAATTCCTGCCCTTACTTCTTTAGAGCCTCAAATGACTTCAGAGCATCACCATAGGAAACCATAGCATCCCAAAATTAAGATTTCCAGGGTAGAACAATTTTTATCCTCCTGAAAACTGTAGGGGGGATGAAGGTAGAGCCTGCCTGCGGATACAGGTGGAGCATGTAGGTGCATGCAGGTGTGTGTGTGTGTGTGTGTGTGTGTGTGTGTGTGTGTGTGTATGTGTATGTATGTATGGCCATGTAAAGTCTAGAGACTATATTTTTCTCCATCTCTTTCATCTCAATTTTTTTTAATGGCAGGACCTGGATCTCCCCACTTAGGCTAGACTGTCACTACCTCCTGAGCTAGAGTTAAAGGCACCCAAAGTGGGTGCTGGGAATTCAACCTCAGCTCTTTGTATCTATGGCAGGTACCTTACTGGCTGAGTTGCTTGCCAGCCCCTCAAAACTTCTTTTTCAATAGTCTTTTCCCAGCTCAGTAAATGGAAGTAGTAGTTCATGATCAAGTACAGAAGCAGCTTGTTTCTCTTCTCCGTTGTTGCAGAGCCCTCTGCAATTCCATGATGTGTCTCCACCTTTTCTTCTGTCCCTGCCACTCTGGCCATGCCTTGCTTGTGATGCTTAATCACAGCTTCCTAATTAGTCTCTTGAATTTCTGCAGTCCATTCTACCCCAAAGTGAATGCCAACTTTAAAGGTATAATTACCTGCTCACATCTGTTAGATTACCTGGAGTGTGCACACTGCAGAGATTCCTGAGGAGACGTTTACTGTTTAATTGCCTGCCCTGTAATAATTGTACAGCAGACACATCCTAATTGAATTTGCTTTCTTCTTTTCTTTTCTTTTTTTTTTTTAATATTTATTTATTTATTTTATTGATGAGTACACTGTAGCTGTCTTCAGACACACCAGAAGAGGGCATCCAATCTCATTACGGATGGTTGTGAGCCACCATGTGGTTGCTGGGATTTGAACTCGGGACCTCTGGAAGAGCAGTCAGTGCTCTTAACCGCTGAGCCATCTCTCCAGCCCCGCTTTCTTATTTTCTATTCACATTGTTTTTCATTTTTCTTTGTTAAAGGATGAGCTCTGGAGGATCCAGGAGAAGCTGGAATGTTACTTTGGCTCCTTAGTAGGCTCGAATGTGTACATGACTCCTGCAGGATCTCAGGGCCTCCCTCCACATTACGACGATGTTGAGGTAAGAGAGGAAATTGATTGTCCAGTCTGGAAAGAGCAGGCTGCTGAGAGCCAGACTTGATCAGTTGTCAGGGTTCTCTTCATCACTCTCAGGCACTCTTAGACCAGGTCTGTGGCTGTTCTTCTGAGTCCTTCCTGAAGATGCTGACCTGGTCTCTATGTTGGGATGCCTGCAGACTGGCTTCCTGCCTCTTCTCAAAGCAGGAGCACTGCTGATGAAAAACTCACACAGTCTTTAGAAATAGGATTTTGTTTTGTAACTTATTTATAAAAGAATAATCGACTTTTTAAAAAAAAATTACAAAGTGAGGTGAGATCACAAATAATTCTTAACATTTCTTTGACTTTGTCCATTTTTAGTGGCTACGAACAATATGTGTATTTTTTCCACTTATGAAAAGTCCTGGTGCAGCTTGAATGAAGGTTCTGGTTCCACTTAATCCCTGGCACCTTTACAAGGGTTGATTTGATTCTTATGTGGCTTCCAAAAAGTTAACTCATTGGCTTGGATAGTTTGTAGTTTTACTTTTATACAAGGTGTGAACACAGATATAACAGAAGTTACTTTTCGTTCCTCTAAGTAGATACATTATCCACAAGTGTTTCTTAAATACTCTTAGTAGAATATTAAGATAGTTTAGCCAAATGAAAACTTAAAAAAAAAAAAAAGAAAGAAAGAATAAAATATAGTGTTTTATTGTAATATTTAAGCTTTGGGTCATTTACTTGTGTCAGATTTTTCTATCAGATTATGGCTTTCAAATGCCTAGCTGATAGAAGATGTAAAAGCTAGTGGAATATATAAAGAGCCCAGCTGTGTCAAAAAAGTGACAAGAATGAATGTCCAACACAAAGATTCCTGATTACCTGTTTAAAAATTACTAGGAGTGGTGGCTTATATGTGTGTACAGAACATGTATTTCTGATGCATGTTCTAGAAGCTCCCAGTTTGTCAGGAAGCTTTCTGATGCACTCTGGTCTGTGGCTTCCTATAGGTTTTTATCCTGCAGCTGGAGGGAAAGAAACACTGGCGCCTGTACTCCCCAACTGTGCCTCTGGCACACGAGTACTGTGTGGAGCCTGAGGACCGCATTGGGACACCAACACATGACTTCCTGCTGAAGGTATGGCTGGTCTTCTATTCATTTTCTAAAAATCGTTTCTCCATGTATGATTCAGCTCCACAGAAATAAGTTTAATTCAACAAATCACCAACTTCTCTAATAAATGTGGATGGGTTAATCTTGGCCTATTTCTCCACATTTAAGTCAGTAGTCAGCATGTAAGCAGAACACAATGATGCTTTCCTTTTCCGTACTACCTGTCTTCCTGATAGGATAGCTCCTACCCTCCCTCCCCAACATAGAGTTACTAGGTGAGTAGGAGCTAGCAAAGTGCTCAGGGGTTCCTCCTCAAGGGAGCCAAGTAGCTTTCCATAAATTGTTTCCTTAGAATCTTAATCCAGTTTGGATGGGAACATATCAGAGTCAGGCAGGAGATGACCTTGAGAAAAGGATGTAGAGAGACAGGAATAGCTTCATAAATAAGCTTCATGCCCTTGCTTAGAAAACATACATTTCTTTAGTCGCAATATAAATGATCAAATTAGACAATTTCAAAGATTCTTATGTTGGAACTATTGTGTGTGACTATCTTCTCATATTTCTTGCATCTTGAGGATATACCAAGCCTAATTCCTATCCCTGCCTGTATTGCTATTGATTTTAAGATTTGCCTGTCAATAGCCTGGAGGAAATAGCTTCCCTCTTTTTCGATGGATACCTATATTATAGGAAGCCTGAATAAATAATGATGGTTTCATGTTTGCTTTATAGCTCATTGCTCAACATTCTGGTTTGCTAAATAGTTTATTGTAGCACAACTGTACCCATTCAAAGTGCATAGCTAACGTACTGCTCACATTCTACTCTGTTGTGGGGCCTAGAAACCAAAGTTTACCCAGGAGGTCCCTTTAAATGGACTTGGGATAAAGTACTGTAATCAAGGAAGTTTATAAAAGAAAGCACTTAATTGGGCTTGTGATTTCAGAGAATTAGAGTTCATGATGGTGGCATGGTGGCAGGAATAGCTTAGAGTTCACACTCATCCTGCAAGCAGGCTAACAGAAGGCTTTCAAAACCTCAAACCTGCCTCTAGTGACATACCTCCAACAAGACTGCACCTTCTGATCGTCCAAGCACAGCCGCCAAGTGGAAACCAATATTCAGACACGGGAGCCGATGTGGGCCATTCTTCTTTAAAGCACCACACTCTGAGGCAGGAATAGGGGCTTCAGTGAGAATTCTGAAACCCTTATTAACCTTCCCCCTATTCTAGTGCTAGCCTATGTAGTGGGTCTAGTGTGGGTTTCAGGGTGCAGAAGAGAAGCCCTTTACTCTTCTTGGGGGTGTGGCAGGTTTAGAGTTCAATAAAGCTGAAGTCATTTAACTGCAATGCCCTTGAGCAAAAAATTTATCTAAATCAGGGAATCATAATATTTACTTTGCAGTCTGGGGATTGAAATATACTATGTTAATGATTCCTTTACAACCACATTCTTTGAGTGAGATGTCAGTCTTTTGTTAGCACAGTGATTGTTGTAATAACACAGATTTAATTTGTGATAGTCCCAGGGGTCAGAAATCTTAAGTTGGCCTCATTGTTGGAAGAACTTCGTTTCTTCTGGGGAGAATCTGCCTCCTTGTCTTCCCCAAAGGACTTGGGGGCAATTATCCAGATTCCTATGGAATTGAATGAAGTATATCTGTGAAGGCCTCACTCAAGGTAACATCAAAACAATAAACAGTGGGTGTAATTGTCAAAAATGTTTATTTGCTTGAAGTACTGCCATATTAGGGTTATTCAAAGCAAATGAACAGCCATGCAAACCTTAGGAATACACTACACCATACTACACTACACTACAGTACACACACACACACACACACACATTAATCTGTGTTCTACACTGCATGCCTTGCTGGGATAGGCTCTGAGGAGGATGGGTTAGGAGTGATATAATAGATCTCTCGGAGAGATCTAAGGAAAATTCTCAAGAGATGAGAACTGGCAGTGACTGTAATAAAACCATACCCCATGCTGCCCCAACACTTGGAACTAGCATTTCCTTAATCCTCTGACTATTGCTGTAGGCTTTGGGACTCTTGTCCCATTTTAGTGATGAGAGTCTAAGGCTAAGGCAGCTAAGCAAGTTGCACTGGTCCTGTTACAGAAAGCCCTAACTTTACCAGAGGGAGGGAGTAGTCACCCCAGAAACAGGGTGTTACTTTTTGGATCTCAGTCCTGTGAGGTTAGTTTCAGGTATATCTAGTGTCACCCTGAAAATAAAGACACTACCTGAACCCAGCACACCGACTGTCCCTGAGATGTGTAGTGGTTTCTAGAATGGAGAACTCAAAGTATGTTTATCTTAAAGACAAGAGAGTTTGCTGTGTACTTAACTCTTCTGTTCTTCCTTTAGCCTGGTGATTTGCTGTATTTCCCCAGAGGGACCATTCATCAGGCAGAAACTCCTTCAGGCCTGGCCCACTCTATTCACCTGACTATTAGCACCTACCAGAACAAGTAAGGCCTTTGCTTCCTAACCTAGTTTTTAGGACAGCTCTGAGATATGGCCCAAAGCAGCCATATTCAGGATAGACCTGAGGAAGTTGTCTACTACCTCTTATTCTGTGCTGACTCCCTACATATTTCTTTTATGTGTCCCTATGTGTGATTGGCCTGTCTGGATATTCTATGAACATCGTAGATATCTCCCCCTTCTTCTCCCTCCCCCCCTCCCCCCGCCTACACACACAGACACTTCACAATACCTAAATAGAAGATAGAGGATCCCTTAGAGAGGCAAGGAGAAGCAAAGCAAAGAGAAAACCTATAGCTATGGGTATATCATAGTAAGTTTTCGAAGAGACCCTTGGAGCTTGGAACGATATACTCAGCTCAGCTTGGATATCAGGAATAGGCTCAGAGAAGACTTGACATACAGCTCAATGAGTCTTAATGGATGATTAAGTAGGGGTGGGTCAGAAGGTCATGGTGGGTAGGAGAAGGTAGTCCAGAACCAGATGTCAAGTCCCTCCTGCTGAAAAGCAGGAAATTGTAAAATGTGTTAGTAAGTGTGTCTCTTCTTCCTCATGACCTCTCTGTGAAACTCACCCATGTTCAGATTTACTAGGGATTATAGCTATATCCTGCCTGGGTTAGTGCCATTTGCAAACAATTGGAAGGCATAAATTTCTAGGTTTCGAAAGTATTTTGTCACTCTGATGAGGTAAAGAACAGAAAGTCTGAGGACAGTCAAGAGAGCAGGGGTGATAGAGAGGTGGCCCACTGGTAAACGTGCTTACTATGTAAGCATGAGGATGTGAGTTGGGATATCAGCATCCATGTAAAAGAAAAGGAGTTTGGGATGCTGTGCGTTCTCCAGTGCTGTTGGACAGCAGGGATAAGAGGGTCACTGGGATTTGGCTGTCATCAGGGCTCTAGTCACTGTTAAGAGACCCTGTCTGAAAGGAGTATTGCAGAGAGTGATAGAGGACATCACATGTCTGGCCTCAGCATAGCGTGCACAGTCATGTGCATGATGTCATCACACTCACTGATGCATACACTCTCATTCACACACATGCGGAAAGGAGAGTAGGAGGGAGTCAGAGGAACTGTGTAGACTGGTCCTATTAATGTCTGTATCTTCTGGTGCCCCACATTACTGTCATACAGTTAATGGCTCACTTCCTAATTCTGCTTGGTGGTTACATTGGTGCCTCCATGGTAGGATTTTTGCCTTCTTAATCCTGCTTTTCTTTAAATTCTATATTTGTTGCCATCTGGTTTCCTTTTTGTTTTTTGTGTTTTGTTTTGTGGATTTTTTTTCTTTTGACTTTAAAGATTATTTTATTTTCTGCGGATTGTTGTTTGGCTGTGTGTATGTATTGCCTGTATGCCTGTGCCCTCAGAGGCTACAAGAAGGAGTTGTAGTGTTTGGAATTAGAGTTACAAATAGTTGTGAACTACCATATGGTTGTGCTGATAACTAACACTAGGTCCTCAAGAAGTTCTTTTCACCACTCCACCCCCCCACCCCACCCCCGTGTGTGTGTGTGTGTGTGTGTGTGTGTGTGTGTGTGTTCTCTTTCCACTGTAGGTTCCAGGGGTCATAATCAGACATTCCTGGCAGTGACCATTACTCACCGATCCATCTTGCCAGCCCTGGTTATTTTCACTTCCTCTTTTTCCTTTTATACCTTGTAGGTGTGACGCTATCAGGAGTTCCATCCATTTCCCCTTACCTTAAACCTATTTGCTTTTGTTTTTGCTGTTAAGTACCTGCCCTGGTCCATCTCCCATCCTGAAATGAAGATTGGTTGGTCTCTGGGTCTCATTGAATCTTTCTTCAGTCAGCTGGGGCTAGGGTTGCTGGCTTGGGCTGTGAGTGGGTACTGTGGCTCATGTGCCTAGTCTGGCCTCTGATTTGGATAGGAAATGCAAGAGCCAGAATGGAAGAATGTAATCTGAGAGCCACACCTCTCAGAGGTGTTCCTGGGCTCTGGACCACTGTGGTAAGGGAATGTATAGCCTCTTCTCAACACCTCGGAAGAGGCATCACTGGAATAGCTTGGGCCTGCTAATGCCAGAGCAAATCTCCCAAAATTAATATTCTTACCCTTGGAAGAACACTGTTTATCTGCCATCAAATTCCTCTGTGATGCCTACGATTTCCACCTAAAAGCCTGCGAAAGACCACCTATTTCCCTTGTCCAGAGATCTGCCTCTATTCTCAGGATCCATCCACAAGAGTGAAGAAAGCGTGGCTTTAAGTCACACAGCAGTATGACACCAAGTAGTGGATACTTTGGGGAAAGTGTCTCAAGAGGCCCTTGTGTCCTCCTCCTTTGGCACTCTTCTAGGATGGGAAGCAAGAAAGTGTCAGTTTTCCTGACTGAGAAGCATAAGCCATACTGTGATTTCCATTTGCATGTAGCTCTCAATTTGAAGTCTGCTGGGGACATGGGAGAAATTTAAACAAGTTAAGAAATGTTTAAAGAGCCGGGCGGTGGTGGTGCATGCCTTTAATCCTAGCACTTGGGAGGCAGAGGCAGGCGGATTTCTGAGTTCGAGGTCAGCCTGGTCTACAGACAGGACAGCCCGGGCTATAAAGAGAAACCCTGTCTCAGAAAAAAAAAAAAAAGTTTAAAGAAAGCAACCCCACAGAGTGTTTTTTTCTTACTTAAACTGGTACACAGTTGGGAAAGAGCCACTTCTAACTGCCACAGAGAAAGGAATGAAATAAATCTAACTACCTCAGAGGAGGTGAAGTTAACTGAGCACTGATACTTTCCTCTAGATATTATTTTTGGACACTGGCTTGCTCTCTAACCCAGTAAAAGCATTATTGATCTTCCAAATTCCTTCTTTGTGGTAGAATCTGTTTAATTTTCTGAATTGGTCAGGAATGAGCAAGTGGGAACCCAGTGTGCAGTTTAGAGTAGTAATTGGTATTTACATACATTGTTTATTCATTAACAACTTTAGGTATTTTCATTTTCTTATTTCATGTTGTAGTTCATGGGGAGATTGCCTTTTGGATTCCATTTCGGGGCTTGTCTTTGACATTGCAAAGGAAGATATTGCATTAAGGACTGGAATGCCCCGGCAGATGCTCATGGTAAGAACAGAAGCAGTTAGAAGCAAGTGGCGAGCCATGCACCAGGGAGGCAGATCTGCTCACAGGAAGGCCCTGACATTCTTCCCAGATGAAGCAAGCTGGCCTGCTGAACAGAAGGATTTACACAGCTAATAGAGGGTGGCTTTATGTAGGGCCATTCCTCTGGGGCCATCTTTGACTGTTGTTCAAAAGTGTTTTGTGTATTTTCACACAGTAGTACTGGGGGATATTGGGTAAATAGATAGTTGAACAAATAAACATGGCCACAAGTCTATATTGAGCACACCTGGGGGATCTAGTTGAAGAAGAGGCACCTTGGATTTCCTGATGTTTCTGCATTTTTCATCTTTGGCTAGTTTCCAGACCATAAGTTGACTGGTGTTGAGTAGGGTTGGTCGCCCTAGGAGGAGTGACTTGCTTCCCATAGAGCCTGGATAGTACTCTAATTCCAAGGATCCCCTTTCCAAGCAAAATCTGAAAATTGTTTTAGTTATGTTTTTACTTATATTTCTACAAATGATGGACAATGTAAGATAAATATTGCATATAAGGATATGATCAGCTTCCTTCTCTTAAGGTCCAGGTTGTCCCTCCCCTCACCATAGAATGGCATGGTTTATATCAGTGGAGGTCAGTATTGGGATTGAAGCTCAGGATACTACAGTGAAAACTGACCTGGGTGGCTACCTCTAACAGAATCTGGTCAAGGTTCACTTCTTTGCCTCCAGAGTGTGGAAACCCCAGCTGATGTAACAAGGAAGTTGAGTGGCTTTCTGAGGACCCTTGCAGACCAGCTCGAGGGCAGAAAAGAACTGCTGTCATCAGATATGAAGAAGGACTTTGTCATGCACAGACTCCCTCCTTTCTATTTGGGAAATGGAACAGAGACTATGGACCCAGGTAGGGGTTTGCTCTGGGGCTAATGGGAGATACTTGATGCTTTACTAGCTGATCTCCACTTGGAGCCAATGGAGCACATGAAACACTTTAGGTTTCAAGTAGATAGCACTCTCTCCTTAGTGCGTGTGGTTTCACAGACATGCTTTTAGTAGTCTTTAGTCATCATGTCCAGAAATGTTGAAGAACTTGACTATGACATAATCTTGTCAGAATTAAGGCAAGCATGTTAAAGTATGTTCCCACTAGGGGAAATAAAAGAATGGTTAAAGATAGCACGAGTCTCCCAAGCTGCAGTGAGTAAGGTGTGACAGGTCGTCTTGGAGTGATGGAATTCAGCTCATAGGTGCTGTCAGTGTCCAGCACAAGCCACAAGGAACACACTGTCACATTCAAAGCTGTATGTTGTGACTTGTTGCAGTGGGAAAGCTACACACTGTAAAGTATCTCCATAAAAGGGCATTAGAAAGAATTTATAGGGTGTGGTCTTAAGCTGGACATTTCACACACAGTTTCCAGAGGACTCATGGAAGCAAAGCTTTGGTGTGGATTGGTGCTGTCCGGAAGTAGGTGGGTCTCTTCTAGATATTCCTCAGTGAGTGGGAAGAATGTATGAGGCTTGAGTTACCTTAGATAAATAGCACCTTCACTCAGGGACCAGGGGAGAGAAGTATTGGGCCACTGATAGTTTGAACACTGTTTTTGTTTTTGCCTGAGTTCAGGCCCCAAGTATGCTTGGTGGTATTTGTACATTTTGACCAGCCACACAGTTATTTTGATTGACAGTAATATTCTGTTACACAGTGTTCAAGAGAGTGCTGAGACCTAATGCTAACTGGGCTAGCCCTTTGTCTCAGAGTCACCAAGAATCTTTTCCCTATCATAAGTCTCACCTGTCACCAGGTGACAACTACTAAAATATATAAAGTTCCTATTTATGGTAACTCCATAGACATTTTTATTTTACAGTCTTTGAAAGAAGTTTAGAATTTAATTTTGATTACATTTGTTCAGAATGCCATATTTTACCAATAACATTAATCTTTAGAAGAGAATTTGCTAAATAAATCCCTGCTTAATTCCAGGATGTTTATCTAATCATTTCCCTCGTTTAGCTACTGTAGTCAATAAGGTTATGATTCCTTAACACTTTCCCACCCAGATGGCTTTATAAGGCCAGCTTGTTTCTCCTGGCGGTTCTTTTCATTTTCTTAAGTCCACTTTAGAAAGAGAAGACTGTTTGTTCTGTGATGGGTCATAAAGGACAGTGTTCCACTTACAGGGACTGAATTATGTGCCATTGTCACACAGCTCATTCTTTCCAGAGCCCAGGTGTAGTAGAGGCTCTGCTTTTATGCAGAAAGCAGCACAGGTCTTTCCATCCATAGATGGGGTTATTTATACCTGTCTAATAATGGTCTTTGTGTATGGTGTTGGGATTCGAGTATAGAGCCTTGTGAGTACTAGGTAAGCTCTCCAATGAGCCCCACACCTAGCCCTCTAAGATACTGTTAACTTGCATTATTATTTACGTAATGATATGCCTGTATCACTGTAAGAATGAGGTCCATGGAGGTGCAAGCTGCACTTTTAATTATCACGATAGATGTGGGAGAACATGAGCTAAAAGATGGGTCACAAACAAGTTTGAACATGTTAGATTCATTTTGATGGCTGGCTTTCTGTTCTAGGTGAAAAGTTGCCAAGGTTGAACAGCATAGTAAGACTGCAGTTTAAAGATCACATTGTCCTCACAGTAGGGCCAGATCAGAATCAATCTGTGAGTATCCAGGGGGAAGAGATACCCTCTTTGCATACTATTTCCACGAACCTCAGGCTACTCCAGCGAGATCATGCCCCTCTCACAGTCCCTGTTGCAATGCCTGTTGGGGATTTAAGGGCCTTCTTTTATCCTCAGAGTCCTCCTCTTCTTGTGTATGTGTCTGATCTTTGCTTCCTAATCTACTGTAGGCTACACTGCTCTTCATGAACAACTGAAGACTGTGTTTGAGTTTCCCTGTCCCAGTCCCTGTCACTGTCTATACTACAAGGATCTAGCTTACATTCTGTAGTAGACATCATAGAGAACAAAATCTATGCCCTGTAGTTTGGCCTTTTTATGCATTGTTTCTCCAAACTGGCTGATAGGAAAGCTTTGTAAAAGTGTAAGTTTTTGTGACTAGAGAGATGGATCAGTAGTTAAGAGCACTTGCTCCTCTCCAGAGGACCCAGGTTTGATTCTCAGCACTCACTCACATGGCAGCTCACCACTGTCTATAACTCCAGTTCTAGGCCATTTGATGTCCTCTTCTGGTTCCTAAGTTCCAGGTTATCTGATGTCCTCTTCTGCCCTCTGGATTCCAGATATGTAGGCGATATGCAGACATACACGCAGGCAGAGCACCCATATACATTGAAAAAGTTTTGGGGGTTTTGTGTTTGTTTTTTAAAAAATAAAATTCTGAGTTGTATCTAGTTTGAAATGGATCCTCTCCATTTTTTTTTTTTTTTTTTAAGCCCTAAACTCAGTCTGTGAGAACTAAACCTCATGGCTTTACCTAGTAATTCCTAAGCACTGAGGGAGCTACAAAAGCCCAGGCTGTAGCTATCAGGACTAAACCTAGAGAAGATGATGGAAATAAAGTCACTAATGATTCTGATAACTAAGTCTGAGGCATTACATGTTGGCTCAGGCATTTAGCTAGTCAGTGACAAGGAATAATGTGTGGAAGACCAAAGAGAATAGAGATGATTTGTGATCCACTACTGAAATTTAAATGGAATTTTTAGTAAATAACACAACTTGTATTTCTCAACAGTTGATCACTATATAGCTTTTTAGTTTGTTCTAGGAATGTCAAACTTTTATAGAACAAAGTGCAGACGATTCAAGAAGAAACTGTTACTGATAAGCTGACATAGAAATCAGGATCTTGAACATGCTAGCTGTCTCTATTAACAAAAGTGACTTCAAGTTATCAACAGTTGTCTTGTAACTTTGTGCCCAGAGTATTTTTTACAGAATTGAATACATTTCATTTGAGGACCAAGGCTTTAAAGATTTTCATTAGGGCCAGGTATGATGCTGTATGCCTTTATCCCAGGCAGGTATCTGAATTCAAGGCCAGCCTGCTCTACATAGCCAATTCCAAGCCAACCATAGCTCTAAAGTGAGCCTGCTATCTCCCCCACACTCTCCAAAAGGTTTTCCTTGGTGTTATATTTTTAACCCTCCTTGTACTGAAGCCCTCAGTATTTTTCTTGCTGATGACTTACTATTTTCTTTAAAGGATGAAGCTCAACAAAAGATGGTTTACGTCTATCATTCTCTAAAGAATGTGAGACAGACGCACATGATGGGAAAAGAGGCGGAAACAGAGGTGTGTTCCAACTGAAAACAAACGTCTTTCCTGTGGTTTGGGTTATGACTGGAACATTACTTATGACTGAAAGGTCATGTGTCTTTACAGAAGCATTGTGGACCTGCCATTTTACTTGACTGATAGGAAAATTAAGTCAGTCAATATTGTGAAGGATATATTGATAGCAGCTTTTAAAACACAATAGGTGTGACCTTATAGAAAAGTGTGACAAATGCCAAACATTCTACAACTTAACTGCTCAAAGTAGGTTGTTGTTGGAATCTAAGCTTTCATGTGGGAATTGATGACTTTTGTGAATTATCTAATTACAGGTGAAGTAGTTTTTCTGAAACAAGTTTCATACTTCTGAAGTATATTAGAAATATGTACATTGAGAATTGTGTAAGCTTATGCAAAATCCATGAAGTGACTTTATTTTTGTACTAAACAATGTATCCTTCTTCAGATTTACGGACTTCGCTTTCCTTTATCCCATGTGGATGCTCTGAAGCAAATCTGGTGTGGGTCACCAATTCGTGTTAAGGACCTGAAACTTCACACAGATGAAGAAAAGGAGAACCTGGCACTGTCTCTCTGGACAGAGTCTTTAATCCAAGTACTCTAGTATCTTTATGCAGAGAATTATTTGCTATTTTCTCTACACATAAGGGACTTGGTGTTCTGATTAGTACTCAGGATGAAGGTGTGGTTACATAGAAGAGCGGAGAACAGAAGGTGGTTCATGCCTTCATGGACACGAGAGGGAAAACAAGAAATTACTAAGCATCCCAGGCTGTGAGAAAACGATATTTTGGACAAGTTTATTTAATCCAGTGCTGTAGAAAAGGCACAATTCCAGTATATATGTCATATAGAATTATGTCATAACCTGGCGTGTCTTGGTTCTTTGGAAGAAATAACTCCTTTAAAGAGCATCCTTGGCTCCAAAAATACTTTTTAACAATTAAAATTTAGGAATAAAGTTGGTTTTTTTACAATGAAAATATACATACTTTTGAGCATACATGACCCCTTTCCCCATTAAAATAAACATGTTTCACGTAACACTGCCACACCCAAAAGAGGTACCCAGCATCTGTGAACATGCAGAGCTCTCAGATGCTGCTTGGAAGATGACAGAAGAGCCAGAGATTGAAAAAACAAATCAGAGGCCAGTATATACATGGAAAGACCAAGTGTATAAAAAAATAAGTATCCACTGTTATTTTACATTCTAAAGTGCATACAAGTTGGTAGTTTTAAAAATATTGCTGGAAAATTTCTGTAAAAATAAGTATTTTTTTTCTTTCTGGCCAAAATTGGGGCTGAAAGCAGTGGCTGTCTGAGTTAAAGTCCATCTCAGGAAGGAGAAGGCTGTTGACTTGTATGTAGTGCCTCTAGACCTGGTTTTGCCTAGCTGTAATTTAAAATGGGAGTAAAACTTAGTTGTCTGTCACCAAGTAGACAAAGTTGTGGTGAGTAGAAGCCCTGTTTGCTTCATCTGAACTTGCGTGTAGTGCTTTAACTCCAGGGACACGTTGGACTCTTAGACATAAGTGACTCAGTCTTGATACTACTATCCTTCCTTCAGGTGACCAAAATGTAAAGTTAGCACGCCCAAGAGTATTGTCACCCCAGGTCATGCAGGTGGGCACTCTGAGGATGTTTGTACATTTGTAGTTAGAAAAGCAGTAAAGATCGGCCGTGCCACAGAAAGTACTTTAAGTACTAGTGCCTTTTGCCTCAAGAAGCCAGGGTCCCTCCTTGGGGTCAGGTAATTAAAGAGTATAAATACTTACGGGTGTTTCAGTTACAAAGTTTCTGTATAGAAACTAAGGTTTGTTTAATACAGCAGCAGCTTAATACAAGAGCTTTTTTAAAATAAGTCGTCAGATGGTGCTAAAAATTACTTATCTTCCTGCAGTAGTATGACAACTTGTAGGAATTTGTTTTCCTATGCCTCATTCACACAAGCATGGAGCAGGACACTAGTATACTAACTAATGCATGTAACAGCATTGTCCAGATAACTTAGCGCCATCAAGAACAGAATTCATGGTTAGTGCTTAGGAGAGAAAAGACAGATTTCAGGAAATTGGTCACTACAACTAGATCCATCAGGAAAAGAAATAATTACATTTTCTTCACAAGGACACTCCGGTGAGAGTATTTTAGCTTTTCCATGGAGCAGTAGTTTGACCGCTTGGGAGAAAGTTCTTTCTGTGTGCAGTGCAGTAGTGTGAACACAGCAGCTTCCTTCCCGTGCACACGGGCAGGAGTGGGTGGAGGTGCCTTTGTGATTCTCTCACAAGATTTCAATGTCCCATTTCTGTGTTTCTTCTCCCTCCAGGGGCTGATTTACAATGACATGAGTCTTGTCATAATAGTTTCCTCCTAAAATAGAAATGTCAGAAGAAAAGATTTGTTCACAGGAGTATTGGCAATTGCACAATTTCACACCCTTTTTGTTCAGCACACTATTTAAGTAGATTAATATATTATTTGAAAGTTTGAAATGGGAAACTGGGTTTGAACCACGAAGCCAGTATTCACCTCAAATTGGACCCACTTGTCAAACTGAAAAACTAAAAACAAAAATATGTGTTTATAGATGCATAGTGCCCATAGAAACATGCCATACAGAAACAGTTTCCCTAGTAAACTCTAGGTGAGTGCCAGGTACTGTTTTGTTTCTTCAGCAACAGCCATAGTAAATAATACTGGCTCTGACCTTGAAACATTAAAGAACAAGAGTAATTGTTCCTGCTGTAAATCTTAACTGAGAGCTTTTTAAGGATTACAGCAATTCAGTACAGGATATGTTTCTGGAAAAGAAACAGGGGACATCTTTATTTTGTAGATTCTGGTGCTTCAAATTTAGAATTGCAACAGTTCATCAAAATTAAGGTTGCAAGTGAAATTTTTATTATTCTAATGATAGAAAAGCTATTTAGATTTTATTGGGGTTTTTCTTGGTTCCTGGCTGTATGACCCTTAGAGTTCATTTAAAAGAAAAACAAAACAAAACTTTTTCTCCCAAATGTAAGTGAAAATGACTTTATTCCTCTTAAATGAATGTTTATCTTTTTCTATGTGCACTGATGTGAGGGTGGCAGATCCCTGGTCTTAGAGTTACAGACAGTTGTGTGCTGCCATGTGTTGAGTAGGAATTGAACTCTTCCTCTAGAAGAGCAGCCAGTGCTCTTTACCACTGAGCTACCTCCACAGTTAACTAAAAGAGTTCCTTACTTGGAAGGAGGGGTTGAAACTTACACTGGCATTCAAAGGCACACAACACTGGTTATTATCAAAGGCCCACCTTTAACATCCAGGACAAGTTCATCACTGAGATAAGAGCTGATGGTTCCATTTCTGTTCATTCTCCACTTCTGCCTGAACTGCCCATGTTCAGTCCACAAGGCTACCTTGGCTCCAGGAGTGTCCCGGCCTCCAATCACATCAAGACATGTGTCACTGGCCTATACAATAGTCAGGAAATAGAATGACTCTACTGCTTTTGCCAATATAATTGTAGTAGCTATTCTTAACTGAAAAAAATAATTTCCATTTATCTTTAAAAGTCTTTATGGCTGATGAGGAAGAATAGGTAACAAAACTGAAATACAAACACTTGTTTTTAAAAGGCTCTGCCTCTGACACAAGGTCTTCAGTAAAGATATGCTGAACTGGAATATTAAGTCCCTGTTAGCTTAAATATATGATGCTTGGTTTTCTACTTTAAATGACAAAACACTGTACCAAAGATAACCAGGTACTAATTTTAAATGCTTTTTGTTTTGAAGCATAAAGAGTAGATAGGTCATTGGTGATACAAATCAAAACATAATAGTGTTTTTCTGAGGTAGTGTTCTGTTCCCCAGAGCAGCAAATATGGTAAGGGGGAAAGCTTATATTTCATTTTCTTAAGCATCGTTCATGACAGTTTTCTTCTACTATGGCTCTACTGTATATTCAAAAAGGAAAGGGTTTTAACATGTTTGGAATCACAAGAGAGAACTAATCTTATCTGGCTGTCAAATAAGGAACCCTTCTCCCACAAGCATGTTGCCTGATTTGGCTCCAATGGAGGGAATCATTTAGGTTACGTGTTAATCTTGCTTCTTAAACTGAATCTGTACTTTCTAGATTTAAACAAAAGTTAAGTCCATTTTTATGATTATACACTGAACTGCTTCTAGGAAGCCAACATTGTTTTCAGCATGCCAGCTGATCTGGTAGTATTGTAGTTACTGTGCAAATGTGAACATCAGAAAAAGCATGATCTTTTACCTTGGATTTAAAGAGTCCTCGGCAGTAGTGCCAGATCTGAGTGTCCTTCCCACTGTAGGGAGAGATGCATACAGACATTGTCCGTGCATCTGCTGGGTTCCCAGTGACTGTCAAATATTCATCCTGGGCTCTGTTCCTTATTCTGATGTATACTGCAGGCTACATAAAGAGAAAAGTCATTGAGGAGTGGGGACCTTAAACTTCCTTATTGGAAAAGTAATCTGTCCAAAGCAGGAAAGTGGAAAGGTACTAACTTTAATAAATATGTTTGACTCAATTCCCTTGGCTGGTATGTATGTATTATTTTCTGCTGATAAATCCTTGAGCATGAAGTGTAAATTATGCAATGTCTTTTAAATGTTCTGAGAAGGTAATTGACCAGAACTCAATGTAGCAAGGCTCTGGCAGTATGGAATTAGGGGTTTGGTGAGTTTCATCATGTGTCAGATAGGCTGGGTGGGATGGGGAAAATAAGGGGTTGAGTAAAAACCCCAACATGGGTCTTAGTGACACGAATAGCAAGCATGGTACACTTGTGTGAAGCAGTGATTAAATGGCCAACAGCTGTTAGCAAAGGTCTTGATCTTTCACCTATGGAAGAAATTTCTTCTGCATTCAAAAATCAGACTGTACTCCTTTGTCTGGAAAATACATGACCCACAATTTTTACAAGAAGAAATCTGAGACCACTAAGGATAAGGGCTAATATATGCTGAGCCCTTGGACACATCAAGCCACATGGTTTTTGTGCTCATAATTTTGTCAGAAAAATCAACCTTTCAGAGAAAACATCTGTGGCTCCAGGTTTTACAAATAATGCTGTCACAGATGGAGAGTCAGATCTCTGGCAGGATGGCTCAAGAAACCCATGCAGGAACACACTGGTTATCCCTATGGCACTGTCCCTGTGGTTATAAGACAGGAGAAGGGCACTGGAAGCAGCTCTACGGGAAGCATCCTGCATCCAAGGCCTCAGGTCCTGAAGATAAAATATATACTAGTATCCCCTCTGGATGAGAGCTGGCATCCTATGTAGAAATGTAGTACTGTAATAAAGTGATCTGTTACTTGAAGTACTTTCACTGTGAAACTTAAGTGCTGACCAGAGAAGTAAAGCTTGGTATTATATGTCAAGACTACCAATGAATACTGTAGTTTGAAACTTACAACACATCAACTCAAAGTTGGGTTGCCTTTTGGTAAACTGCTACTGTGTTTAGGATATCTAAAGAAACATCACCTAAATATTTAACTTGCCAAGTAGAAGGGCAAATAACTTGGCTGTAAAAGCCTGGGAACAAGACTGCTGAGTGTCTTAAAGAATGACATTCAATGTCTGTACCCATCCTGGTAGAACAAGATACCATGTGACCATCCCTTTAGCTATTGACCTCCTGAAAGAATTGAAATTTCCACAGGAAACCCTCATGCTGACAGAAGGGGAAAGCTGAAGCCCTTTTTCCAGCCAGAGGGGGAACTGCCTCCCAACAAGTTCTTATAACTTACCAGACCACCATACAGATCAGACTTGATCTAGACAATGAGTTGTCCACCATCAGTCCTGAGGACCAAACCTTGACAAGGACTGCTGAATTATGCATACCTCTAGCCCTCGAAACCTGTACTTCTCATATCGTTGCTTGGGTGGGTGGGTGGGTGGGTGGGATGGGTGGTTTCAGTGGGATCCTTTATTTATTCTTATTGTGGTACTTTGAATAAATCTGTCTCTCCTCTTAACTATTTCTTTCATTTGTGTGTCGAAGACATGAGATTGAAACTAGCTTGTTGGGCTGCCAGTACCCAGGCTTTTACTCTAATTGATTATAACTGCAATAATGTACTTAAGTATCCACAACTCAGTGTTGTCTCCCACAGTAACAGCTACTAATTCTCGATGCTCTTGTGAACTTTCACAGTTATATTACCTTGCATATGCAAAGAAACAGGTATGACCTTCACAGAAGACAGAACTCCAGTTACTTTAGGACTAAACACAGTTTTAATCAATTAGACCAAGCAAGGTACTAATTACCCTTATTACCATTTGCAGTCTGATGACTCTGTAATTACACTTAAAAATCACTGACATGCATTATAAGTGCCTTAGTGATTTCTGTATTCCCAGTGTCAAGGAGGATCATGTTTTTGATTATTTCCTGGTTCCTCAACAAGGAAAAGAACTATAGCAGCACCAATCCTGAACAAAGTTACATGTAGCAGCAAAGTACTGTTTTCAAAACTGAGAATTCTTTTGTTGGGTTTTAAAGCTGTGGCTTAATTAATCAATGAGGAAAATAATCTAAAATATTACTTTGAAATTAACAATAGTTGTTACAGGTATGCAATCCAGGAAGAATTTGAGAAGTTGAACATTAAGTCCCATTGCTGAAGATACCATGTACTTTGGAAACAGGACTCAGAAGATCTGAACTGGATTTAACCTGAAAGCTTCCTCCCCTTGGACCAGCTTTCAGAGTACCAGAAGATGCTATGTAAGCTGCCAGTGGAGGGTAGCAATCAAGAGTCCTACCCAACTGTAAATCACAACATTAACCAGCATTGCCAGATATCCCCGAAGCTGCCACCTTGGCAGTCATGCCTTGGCAATGACTAATAGCTTTCTAATTGGATGTAAAGCACATTTAACAAGAGGGAAACCATGGTACTGGAAACCTAGCCAGACCTATAGAGGTCATGGGTCTTACCACTCACTACTTTACTAAACCAGCACAATCCTAACTGCATTCTTAATACTTTAATGCACTGTAGCTCTCACCCCTCATCAAAGAAGCTTCTCTTTGCAGCAGATGGAGATCATCACAAAAAAATACAGTGAACAATGACAACACCAAAGGCATGGGAATGTGTGTATGTGTAACAAAAATAAAAAGAGGCCATGAATTTAAGGAGTAAGGAGGTTCCAAATGGAAAGGGTTGGAAGGAGGAAAGACAGGAAATGATGTAATTAAACTTTATATTAAAATTATGCAAAAGGGACTTGCTTGTAAAATTAAGAGGTTATGCTAAGCATTCTTTATCACAGGACCTGGAACAATGGGAATGGCTGTCCTTGTCCAGCACAGAAACTTCATTCAAAAATGAGATTACTGGGGATGTAACTCAGTGGTATAGGCTTACCATGCATGAGGCCTTTGGTGGAAGGAAGCCAAAACGGGAGCATTTTCACACTGGCAACTATGGTTTTGGGAACATAGTATTCATGTTAGCTAGTCTTTAAAAGCTAAACCTGATTTCCCACTTCTTCCTTTCTTTTTCCTGTGGCTGTTTATTTATTTCGGTTACCCCTTATCCCACAGACTGGGAATGAGGAGCACTCTGGAACATTAGTATATCAAGAAAAACCACGAATGTTTTGGGGTCCTTCAGTAGAACTGCTCTGGCTCTCTCCTGGAGTATGATGAGTAACTAACAAGCTTTCAGAGTCAATGTGGCCCCATAGTTGATACAAGGCCAATGTGTATCCATATACTACTCTGTATTCACAGTTACGAACCTGGGGTGCTAAGACAGTAAGTGACTGATCAAATTCACACTGCTAGCAAACAGCTGTGGTTTGAAGTGACAGAACCTAAGACTGTATCAAAGGATATGGCAAGAGTTTGGTAATTACCAAACACTGAGGTTGATCAGAGCCTCAGCACCTGGATCTTCTAAACTGACTGCTCTCTTCCTGGAGTTAGTTCATGGTAGAACTCAGCAGATGCTGATCTTACTATCAAGGAGTCTAGGTGCTTAAAAATCTAATACATAAATGATCTGGGCTCACATTATGGTCCTAATACTTGAGTTGTTTTTCTCAAACTGTTTGGCATCCAATAATAATCCTTACCTTAACACTACTGTGAGAATCAAGTGAAGCAGTGTTCTAACAAGAACACAGGTAGATAGCTCATCTGCCACCCATTACATACTTGGGGGAACTTTTCAGTGTCTGTGTACCACTTCTCAGTGCCACACACTGCCTGGGGCTTTTGATAATCATGTGTTTTATGTTCCAGTTTTGTGTGATGTTGGGGGCTCACAGGTAAGCATGTGTACAGGTGGAAGTAAAAGGTATATTTTGGGTCACCCCTACATTTAAGGCAGGGTCTTTTCACTTGCCTGGAACTTCACAACTGTTCTAAGGAAGCTGGCCAGAAGACTCTCGTGCCCCACTTTCTAATGGAATTACATATATGCACATCATGCCTGGCTTTGAATGTGGGTGCCAGGGATCAAATATTTCAGCTTTTGAGTTTAATTTAAAAATTACAGTTCAACTAAGGAACTGATGTCTGTCCTAGTATCTACCATATCTTAGAGGACACTAAACATCTATTATTCCTTTATTGAATAGATTGAGTCCTTGAGTCCTTGCCATTGTGACAAGTACCAAAGAGAACAGTAAGCAAAACAGGCACTTTTGCTTCTCAAAAGTGCTTTCCAACAGAGTAGGAATGAGCCCAACTCATCTGGACCTATGTGCTTTTAAGCTACATACCATGTCTTGTAGTAAAAGAATCAAGTTTTTTGGGGTTTTAATTTAGACAAGAGAGACTGAGCAGGCACCTAAGAGGACCTGGCACATTCAATTAAAAGCATAGTTAGACAAAGAATGAGAAGATATTCTACCCAGAGGGTACAGCCTTGTTACCAAGCAGGGAGGAAAGCCCTTTGCATTGGGGTGCATGTGACACAGACATGTGAGTGAGAAGAGGAGGCTGGGGTCACAAGGGAGAAGCACAAAGTTCAGTCTCAGACTGTGAGGAACACTGACCATCTAAGTGCAGCGGGAATCTTTGGAATGGAAGACTGACAAGCAGTAGGTGAGTGATAAATACTGTTTTAATTGCCAGAATTTAACCTGAAGATTTCATAAGGGAAAACTCCATATGCAAAGAAAGTAAAACTCATTATATTAATCATTTTTCCCATTGTTTACCACAGATTTTACATTATTTTAATTCTGTGAAAATTTATGGCTGATAAAACTTTGGGTTCAACACTAAAATCCAATATTGACCTTAGGTAAATTTTTATGAACTGGTTAAAATGTGTGAGATTCCTGCAGAAGAGCATAACCTCCCTCCCTGAATACAGGAGTGACCAAGTGGTGAATAGTTCAGATCCTGTGATTTATGACATTCTGTCAAGCTATCTGGGTCTGCTGGTTCTCTGCTTCTTACCTGCTTCATAGGGCGCACAGAACCGATCGTTTTCCACCCACTGAATGCTGTCCAATTTGGGATCTCATTAGGCACAAGGAGGATTTGCCTT